AAATAATTGGATAAAAACTCCAACAGATCAACTTGTGCCCACAGAATTCCCAATATTAGGCACAATGCTGCATGATTACAGCACAAGACAAATGTCTGTTTTTTGAAAACAATTCAAAACAAGGTCGGTTCCTCTGTTTTGTATATAATTATAGCAATTTCCTTCCTTAAGTAATAATCTTCCCACCTATTTCAAGGGAGGCACTTCACGTTTATTCTTTTTTAACATTTCTTTATGATTCATTTATTTAGCATGTGGGCGTCCATGCACAGGCGTGTCCCCCCCTCCGTGTGTGTGTGTGTGTGTGTGTGTGTGTGTTTGCACGCGTGCATGTGCATGTGTGTACATGCCATAGCTCATATATGGATGCCAGATAACAACTTGCAGGAATTCCTTCACCATGCAGTTCCTGGGGAATTTAAGTCAGGTTGTCAATAAACATGCTTGTTCATCTGGTGAGCTATCCCACCAGATGCCACATCTTTTCTTTTTCTATTTTATTTTATTTTGGTTTTTCGAGACAGGGTTTCTCTGTGTAGCTTTGGAGCCTATCCTGGCACGTGCTCTGGAGACCAGGCTGGCCTCGAACTCATAGAGATCCACCTGCCTCTGCTTCTGTCTCCCGAGTGCTGGAATTAAAGGCGTGCACCACCAACGCCTGGCTGATGCCACATCTTTTATTCTTAGGTAATTAATTATTTCTCTGTTCTTCCTTCTTTCTCCTCTTCTGCAATTACTTGCAGTTCAAACGATAGCTTAAAATTTTGATTCTCAATAATTTTCAGGTTAGGATCTCCAAAGTTCTGATGACTTCGGTTTGGAAAAATTTCCTGGTTGTATACATCCAATTTTAATAACTAAAAGCTTGTCATTCCTACCCACACAATTGTTCCCTACTGTTTGAAAAATTAGAAGATGACAATTATTGTTGGTGAGAGTTTCCCAGCTTGTGTTCTTCAGTGGGAAACAATGGTAGAGGACAAGAGCACACCCAGAATTATAAAACGACAGTATAATTATCAAGTCTCTATCACCACTTCTCCTGAAGTCCTGTTTGTAACTTTTCAGTCCAAACTAACACCTACAAATCACCTGTTACTGATAAATATAAGATGGTTAGTTTCTAAACAATTTAAATATTAATTTCCTTATATTAGGATAATATATTTCTGATCTATGCCTTATGGAAATTTGAAATTTACTTTAAGAGGAAGGCTTTATATGAGGTTATTCTAGAATACCTTTTCCCTAAATCCCCCTAGATGGCCTAGAACTCACTATGTATATAAGGCTGGTCTCAATCCTGTGATACAACTGTCTTTGTTTACTGGATGCTGGGATTACAGCACTGTGCCACCATGCCTGGCACAACATCTCTCTGTGAAAACCTTGTTTGAGGCCAGTGAGATGGCTCAGCAGGTAAAGGCACTTGATGCCAAGTCTGATGACCTGAGTGGAAAGAGAGAACCATTTTCTGCAAGTTGTCCTTTAACCTCCATATATGTGCTGTGGCACAGATGCACACACAATAATAATAATAATAATAATAATATAAAACACAGACTGAAGACATTAATCTGCTGAAATTTGTATGATTTTTTTTAAATTGTGTGCATGTCTCTTGAATCCCTCATAAATTATGTGAAAGGGAATTCACATTTTTACTCTCCCAGTTACCAAGAGAAGAAATAACTTTTATGTTGTGTGTGTGTCAGACTGGATAACTGGATATGAGAGTCAGTTATGGAAATTTAACTTTTTTATTTCTTTTTATGCCTATAGATGCTTTGCCTGCATGTATGTCTGCACCACATATGTACTTTGTGCCTTCAGAGGTCAGAAAAGGGTTGCAATTCCCTGGGGCTATAGCTACTGATAATTGTAGGTTGCCACATGGGTCCTGGGAATTGATCCTGGGTCCTTTGGAAGGAGCAGCCAGTACTTTTAATTTCTGAGCCATCTCTTCAGGCCAAGTGTGGTCGATTTTTGTTGGATACTGTTTGGCTTTGAGCCTGAAAATATCAAGGCATGATGGTGTCCTCAAACTTTTATTTGTACAAAAATCCCATGGTTCAGAGGGGGAAAAAAGAAATTAGAATGGTTGGATTTCAAAAAACCTGGAAAGGACAACAATGGGTACACATGGGTGTTCCTTCCTCTAAATGTTCTGGAGCTTATGGGACAGTGATGCTATCCTTACTGGAAAAGTTTCACATTAGAAAGGCAACTGCTTTTAGGGATGTTTGAAATCCACAATGTGGAGGGAAACAAACGGATGAAAAGTATTGGGTGAGCCACTAAAACTGTGGTTTGGTTGGGTGAGATAGCTCAGCAGAAGAAGGTCACAGATAATGAGAGTGAGAGGGCTGATTCTCACAACTTGTCCTCTGACCTCCAATGAGTGCCATGGCGTGTGTGTGTGTGTGTGTGTGTGTGTGTGTGTGTGTGTGTGTGTGTGTGTGTGTGTGTATGTATGTTCATGTGTGTATTGTGTGAGACAAAAATAAATGAATATGTAAATAAAATGTAACACAAATTTAAAATGCTAAACTGTATGTTTTCCTGAACAAACAGCACCCTTCTATCTGGATTTCTCTTGCTGGATCTCTCTGACTTTTCTTTTTTTCCTCTCTCCTTTTGGGATGGAGTCTTACTATGCTCACTATGTTGCCTCGGCAGGTCCCTGACATCTAGAATTGATCCTCCTAAAAGCTGCTCATAGAGGCATGCACCACTCACTATGCCACATTAGTGACTTGTGATAGTCTCTACCTCCTGTGAGTGGAAGTCTGGTATAGATACAACACTTTTATCTGAAGGACCTACAATAACTTCATAGTACAATCATGTTCATAAAATAACTGGGAATCATTGAAATTTAAACAAACAAAAAGAAATCCGTGAGTCTGTTCCCGGTCCTCCATGCTGCATTTTGGTTTCAGCTGTTTTCTTGGTTTCTGCTGTTTTCTTCCTGGGTAGATTGGCATAAAGACAGCATAGAAAAAACAGCATTCTGATCATTTTTGAATTTCAGTGCTGAGAAGAGAACCTATGACCTCATGCATACTCCACCACTTTCTGTTTATTGTTCTATCTATGATTGCTGCCTTTCAACACTTATTCT